GAGACGGGCTGAGCAAGTGGAGATGAACCCCTTTTCCCATTCCCAACTCTTGGATGGTTATTTGATGTCATTTATCGTAAGAAAGTATACTAAAATTTTTCTGCGATATTTTGGGCCAATAATGGCTAGGTGAAAAATGAAAGTGATTGCATGTCTTCATCTAATATTTAATTTATTATTTTCTAATTTGATATCGAGAGATAACTTTCAACAATTTGTCATCAACGTAAAAGAATTCTTGAGCCAACTTATCTCCAAGCTTTATCGAGTCTTCGTGTAAAGCAAAACATCAAAAGCCATGAAGATTCGAAGTCGGCTTGCTTAAAGCTAATAGGTGAGAAGAAACCCGCGTTCATTCGTATGAGCTCTAGAATTTTGTGGGTTACGGCTTTTACCCGGTCTTCATGTAAACCAAAGGGTCATCTCCAAAAGGTATAATTCCTTCTTGGATTCAACCCGTATTCCAATTTGGTTTATTCTATCTCTCCAAAACGATATTATATATTTTATTTTGTTCCGAAAGAGCCGAAATCATACTTGTTTATTTGTCCATTTGTCCGGCTTCCGATTCATCCACGTGGCGAGTTTCTCTTTGATCCCCAAGATGATGGGATCCCACCCTCTTACTCGTTCATCATTAAAAACCAAACGTTCGAATACAAGAGACTCTTGGATCTTCCTACTAATATTATTTTAATCATGATCTCGCCGCCAAATTCATCTCACACAAAAAGAGCCAAATCAAGGGTTAAAAACAAAAGGAATGTACAGATGAAGATATTGCCTACTTCCACGAAAGAAAAAGCCACTTACGTGCGTCCAAATTGATTACATTACAAGTTCTCACCTAATCACATATGACCCGCTTGATTTGGCGGATTAAGTATTCAGTTGATACTCAGAGTGTATTTGTTTAGCTGAAAATTTTGCAATAAAGGAAAATATTTTTCATGGAATTCATTTCTTTGGTGGTCTAAGGAAAGTTTTCCGTCGTCCAAATACCGAAAAGTGAAAAAATAATTTCCCGTAAAATTTTTTTTTCCTTCAAACAAACGAACCTTTAAGATAGCTTTTATGGCCAAATTTCAACTTAAAAGTTAAAAGAAGTGGCTGTTCATTAGGGTTCGTTCCGGAGGGTTTCTACATCTTGAGAATTAATTAGCAGTTAGCACTTCAAATTCGCCTGTGGATAAGCATTGTGATTCGGCTGGATTCGTAAGCACAACATCACTTTGTCCAATTCTTGTTTGTTCACACCGAAGGTGTCCCTCGCATAGTTGTTACATACATTTGGTCTAATGTGTTGTTGGCACACGCAACATATATTTGATACCTTCGTATATATTCAGCTGGACTTCCACACATCGAAAAACTTGACTGAACCGCACTAAGGAGGATTCGAGATTTAGCTAATATTGAGAGTTTCGCACGTGCATTTTAATAATCTCCCTCGCACATGAGACTCCTATATTAGGTGAGCTTCCCTTTAATTTTGGTATACCTTGTGCACCAACAAATCTAAATTTAACCTCATTGATGAGCATTCTAAACCTATACATCGCCATAACACAACACGCGCCTTCACCTTCGCCCATGGTATCTGTTCCACCAAACAAACCATGACGACAATTGTCATGTGGCAACCGCATCAATCCCGACGTTCTTTCATTGAATTATTCATTAAGCATTGATATACTCTGATACCATTTATTACAACGGCACAGAAAAAGCCCGATACCTAGCATCAGGGAAATCATCAAGAGAAAGTTTTAAGTTCGAGTCAATTAAACCAATGAGTAAAAGTTAATTAGGAATATTAACCGATCTATGCCCCATCCATTCTATAACATGGTTTCCCACTGGCACTCCCTCGCACGTGACATGAGGAGGGATTTGTAAGAGAAAAAGGATAGATTTTCTTGTAAGAGATGCGTGCCTTGAAGATGTCGAAGCCCTTCGAATTTCCATACATCCTAAAAGAAAGATTTGCCAAGCAAACAAATATCGTTTTGACCTCATTAGGTCCGACAAAGTATGACAGTACATGCTATAGGCCAGACTAAACTTTAGTAAAAAATATGAATTAGTTACAAATATATATGTTCCATAATGTGAAGTGGTTGATGATAATTTGAGATAATATTAATATAGAAAGTATATTAATATTACCTAAGTTTAGTCAACATTTTTCCCCTTTCTTTTTGTGCTAACAAGTAACAATACAAAGAGATCCCCAATTTGCACCTGTCCAGCATCGTGCCTTCGACTGCCAACCCAGATCAATAACCCATCTAACCCAAATGTCATGTGGGCTAGGAAAAGTCCGACAATGTCCAGAGTGGCCTATGTTCAATCTCATCTATTGAAGAAGCCTCTCTCTCTCGAGATCAATAATGACACTCGTAGTTCTCGAACTTTTTTGTTCCGCATATAATGTTGTCTCCAAAATTTCAATTGGTTCAATTAGGCTACTTAACTTTTATCAAATGATCAGTGTTATTCCTAAACTTTCAATTAGTTTAAGGGAAATAGCCACTAAAGCCCTAAATTATGTTCATTGTGATACATTTATCCTAAACTTTTTTAGTTTAAGATATTCAATATCATAGCGTCAAAGACTTCCAGACCAATGTAAGATCTCTTAATCAACATGAAATAACGTCATCTTCCTCAAATTGCCAACTGTAATAACGTGAAATGCTCCTAATCACTATGAATAAAGCAATAAAATTTCTCAATACTTGTTATTCACGAAGATTTTACTATTGTTTTTCTCTTTCTTCACGTCTCTCCATGAAGTTTTTGTTGTGTAAATAACCTCGAAATCACCATTCAAAAAGTTAAGCGGATTTGTGCAAGGGGAAGATTAACAAAAAATAAAAAGACATAAATCTATTACACTTATACCAATTCGGTCGTAAAATGTTAACCGTCCTATGCATCACAACCAATTAACGTGGAAATTTTTTAATTTTTTTATAATTCCTTATTCTTCTTTATTTTATCTTTTTCCCTCTTCCTCAGCAACTCGGTGATGATCGGCAACCGCCACAGGCAAGGTGAACTCATTAGGCTTGCCAAACCTCGAGCGAGGCTGACTCTTGCCGGATCACACATCATTTCACTTATACACATCCTTCATCGTCGGGGAAAAGGGTAGGAAAAGGGCATTACCCTGCTCTGCGCCCTTTTCCTACCATGGTTGCTGTCTTGAGGCTATACTACGTGCTTCGTGGAGTTTCTTTCCTGCACTTCACTTTTATCGCATTGGTTGTGATTGTGTACTTTTGCTTGATTGCATACTCATGCATGGACATCGTTTAGTGGCATATGTTAATAAAATGGTCAAAGATCGTCTAAATCATTTAGGTAAAAAACCAATCAAGTTAGGATACCAAAATGGCATTAGTTAGACAATTAATGTAATCAAATCTCTAACCCAAGATTTCTAGTTGCGTAGGAAGTGAGTCGTACCTGACTTGATTTCTATCCGAACTTTGTTAAGCCAGTGTTGGCTCCTAGTTGCATTGAACTTCATAGATAGATTAATTCCAATTGAATTTTACAATGTCGCATGAGGTAATGATTTGAGAGAATTTGAGCCATTTGGGGATCACCGGTTTGCCTTTGGCATTACCTCTAAATTCATTTTTTCCCTCACACACTCCTCGGGAGGTCGCGACATTGGCGAGGTCGCCCTTGCTGGCCATAGCCGAAGCCCAGCGACCGACAGAGGAAGAAGGAAAGAAAAGAAAAAAAGAAAAAAAATAAGAAAGACAAGATTTAATAAAAAAATTATACAATTGTAAAATTTGTCCACGTAAGTGCTAGTCGTGCCACGTGGGATGGTCAGCGTCTGCATTAGTGATTTCCGGTCAAAATTAACCCTAATAACTAAATTGTCAAATTGTCTAAATGACTAAAGTGGTTAATTTGAAAAATCTAGGACTGAATCGGCACAAACGCGATAAGTTTAAGACTTTTTTTTGATAATTTTCACTATGTGCAAATGACTGCGTGAATGAAAAATTGGTCGTTTAGAGAGAGTGTACCTAGGAAAGTAAGGTGTATTATATTTGCCTATCTTAAATATTTTATGTGCATTGACTCCTAATTTTGCCGGTCCAGTAGATTGTCTTTTCCTTATGAAAGTATAAAAAAGGGATAAAGACACAAACAATCCCCGAATTTTGGCTACGCCCTAATCTTGCAATTTGGTCAATGAACTTTTAATTTGTTTAATATAATCCCCCGAACTTTAGGTTACATTGTTCAATGTGGTTCCTCGAACTTTTATTTTGTTTAATGTCATCCTCGAACTTTTGGTACATTTGACATTGTTCAATTCCCTCCCGAACTATATGCAAGTGTTTAATGCAGGCCCTCAACTTGAATTAATGGAAATGACTGTATTGAACATTTTAATATAATTTAGGGATCGAATTCGAATTGTACCAAAAGCTCAGTGGACGATATCAACAAAATAAAAGGCATTGACTTTCGTCAGTTACCATTGTTTGAGAAAAAAGTTGTGGTGGTGAGCGCGGCGAATCTCTTCCATGGCGTGAACTACATCAAACATTACCCTAAAGCTGGAGATATTTTTACTTGCGGTGAAGAGAAAGCAACCACATCAACAAATTAAAAAGTCACGGATTTATCTAGTGGAATAATCAAATTGGAAAACATGGTTTTAAAATAAGAGCGGATTTGGATTTAATGAAAGTTTGTCTTTTACGAGACAAAAATTAGGGTGTTTGGCCAAAGCTTTTTCGATGAAAAAAGTTCGGGATTGTCCCTCGTTTGTGTCATTTTTCCTATAAAATATATATAATAGCAAATAGTAATATGGCTTTCTAACAAAAAATTCAATCAATTGAAAATTTTAAAAAAATTAAAAATTGTTAAAATACTCGGACCGGTTCGACCCGGTTCGATTGGACCGGTCCGATCCGGCCCAGCCTCTTCTCCTTTACTTTTCTCCCCCTTCTTCCCTGTCCTCCACGCTCGCTGCAGAGGACAGCGAAGGTACGAGGCAGGGCAGAGCAGAGCGGGGGACGTCGACCGTGCGTGATTTCTTGGTCGGGCGACGCAGGCCGGCGACGACGGGGAGCCAGGCGCGGCTGCCGGAGAGCCAAGGGGGGCGGCACAAAAGGAGGAACGTGAGTGAGAGAGAGAGAGAGAGAGAGAGAGAGAGGCCGAGGAAGTTTCTCTTCGCTCGGCAAGCTGATCGTTCACCGAGCAGCGCCGGCGATCTCTTCCGACAGCGACGATAGCCGCGGCCGCCGCCGCCGCCGCCGCCGCGCCCTCGATGAGTAAGCGGCCTCCCCCCGATCCCGTCGCGGTGCTGCGCGGTCATCGCGCCTCGGTCACGGACGCTTGCTTCCACTTCTCTCGCCCCTTACTCTTCACTGGGTAAACTCCTCATAAACCCGTTTCTTCTTCTTCCCGGTTCTCCGTTCATATCCCCGCCGCGAAAATGCCCCCTCTTCCAGTTCTTCACACCCTCCATGGGCTTTTTGATGTCGCAGTGCTTCGGACGGCGAATTGCGGATTTGGGACACCACTCAGCGACGGACTGTTTCGTCTTCTTGGTCGGTGCTTTGCTTCCTCAAAGTTTCCTTTTTTTTTTTGGAGAATACTTTGCTTGTAGTTTTCCATGAAAAGTTTCAGTTGTAAAATTTTTGTTTTTAAGCGTATGTAGTTGTTTTCTGTAAATGGATTGCAGGGTGCACAGTGCGGTTCATGGGATCATCTGCGTCGCTACCAGCCCTGTACTTGGAGCTGATAAGATTCTCAGGTTTCCCCTTTTTCCTTTTTGCAGATGCATCAATTTTGTGTCTTTGTCGTTTGAAGTGATTGTTGGGTTATGATTGTCTTGTTGAGATTGTAGCCAGGGAAGGGATGGGACAGTTAAGTGCTGGGACATTGAAGATGGTGGCCTATCCAGGTATTGGGTATCCGTTATGCATGCTTTCATCGTTGAAATGTTGCTGGATTTTTGTCTTGTAAATAGCTGATTCTAAGTTGAGGTGGTCCTTGTGCTAGTGTGCGAGAAGAGAGTTACCATGAGGGCGGACATATTGTGCTTGACATCACATTGGAATTGGATGAAGGGGCAATCGTCATGGAGATGGTTATGCCTCAGATATTTGATAGTGTAGATAAATGCCGTACGTACTGAGAGTGTATGCTAAAATGCTTGCTAAGTGATGCATTAAACCTTCTTTAGCCATTTAGATGGAGACTGTTTCTTTGAACCCAGGCTTCGAGGAATCAATCACTTGTACTGGCACATCATTTTGCTGGCAAGATTTAGCATATAGTTAGAATCCTTGTTTGTACTAACACGTGTTCCTCTTCTCTTCAGCAACGTATTCAGACTTAGTTACATTTTCTTGCTTGTGGCAGAAATCCCCTGCTGACTATCAAGGCAAACTGTTATCACTTTTGCAAGCTTTCCTTGGTGAAGAAGGCTTCTGCTTGTGTAAGGCCTGCTGAAGAGTCTGCACATTTCCAAGACGTGGGAGTTGGAGAAACTTCCAATTCAGAAGCCGGAAATGGCATTGGAGGACGGGTTGAGGGAAGTCAAGCAGAGTGTTCCCATGCCTCTGAAGGTTTGTTCAGTTACATTTCCAGGAAATACATAGATTTACTACAATCAAGACCGTGCCTTACACAAGTTTCTTTTCTCAAATGAAAATGCCTGAATTCAGATTCATCCTATGTGTAAAAATATGCATCAAAGCACTATAGGTTTTTCTCACAAAAAATTAATAGTCGAAGAGTTAGCTGTCAGTCATCGAGGGCATGTTTTTGCTGTGAGATTGTTATCAGTCTTATTTTTTTTGGCTGGGATTGGGAGGAAGATACATGTTTTCTCTTAGTCATAACTTACAAACAAATAGCAAAGTGCTGTACTTTTTTTAATGAAGCATACTGATAATAATATATGTGCATTGTACTTGAGCTGTTAGTCTGAGCAGTGGCTTTGACTCATAGTCTGATATAACGCGAGTCAGAGAGAGCATGTTAATGGAGTTCATTTATTCTCTATGCATCATGATAAGGTGATCTTGCAACTGTAGTTTTCCAAGTGTCACACGGTTCTTTATGCATGGACCCATAGTACCAGCTGTTGCTCTTCTTATTGTCCTTTAGTTTCTCTTGTGGAGGTTTAGCAGTTGTTCTGGATAGATAACTTTTCGGCTGCACATAATTTACCATAAGGATGAAGTTGATTTACCTTTTACCTCTATGGTTACTGACAAAGGTTTTATGTGCTAAAGGTCCCATCTACGTAGCTATAGCAGGGGAGCAGACTTCACAGGTTCTTTTCCACTGATTTTGTAAACTATGTCAAATTTCTGCAATCGTATTGCACTCTTCTTATTGGTTTTTTACTCATGTGAAATGAGCAGGTCGAAATTTGGGATCTTAGAAATAATCAAAGGTCAGTTCAACTACCTCCAGACAATCTTGGAGCCTGCCAAGGGGTCTCAACTAAAGAAAGAGGTATTCTTACGTCTGTCTTTTCTTTTGGGAGACTCTTGCATGCTCATGTTATGTTATTGTGTAACTGCTTCTTGAATGTTTTGCCGACCAAGTTTGTCTAAATTATGAATTCCTGAGAATAGCTGGCAATTGATGCATATGTTCGCTTTACTTGAATGTTCACGAAATGCTATTTGGCAATATTCATGTTAATACATCTGTATTTCTTTTCCATCCATGAAGCTGTTTTTTGGGTTACTACTATCATATCCAAGTCAAGTAGTAAAGAAGGCATACAGTTGTGAGGAAATCGTTTGACATAATTATTACTGACTGGCAGTTATTTGTCTGATTAGCCGGAAACTTTATTATCGGTTGACCGTCCTAATCATGTGGCATAATTATTACGAACTGGAAGTTGACTGTCGCGTAATCTCACTGTCAAAAGCACATGGGAGATATTCTTATATTTTACTCTCTGTTATGTGCTGCTCAAATTGTTCTTGACACTTGACACAGTCTCTCACACATGAGGGAACTATGTGTTTGTTTTGTCCGACTTCCTGTGGAACATAATAGTGCATGTTTGCTACATTTTAAGATGCTAAATACTTGGCCAATCAGCCGGCACCTTTTTCTTTTGGCAAGAACATCTTACCTGCAATGTTGTCATGAGGTTGCTCGTCGTAACAATACTATGTTAGGTCCTGGTTCATATAGTTGCTCGAATATCTAAGATTCAGTGTTCATTTGTCTACTTAAGAGTTTCATTATAACTCTGAGAGTAATTAGACTAGTTTTTGGTTATTTCTGTTTTCACGTGATTTGTTTTTTTTAAATATTTTTATTATCTTTGAAGTACAATTTATTGTTTCTTGGCAGGTATGTGCATGGCAATTCAAGCCTCTATACCATCTGGCTCACAGGGGTTCCTCAATGTTTTGGCTGGGTAACGTCCTCCTCATTCTCTTTAAGAACCATGTTATTGTCTGGACCAATTTTCTGATTCTTTTAATGCACATATTTGTTGAGAGATGAACAGCCTATGAATTCTGGTAATTGTAATTTTTTCTCTTGGGGTATCTTGACAATTTTGTAAATGCAAAAGTTTATTTTAACGAGTCTGTCCTGTATTTGAATGTGGGCTGTGTAATAGGACGTTTGACTACCCTCTCTTGAACTTTTGCGCTGATGTTTATCCTGTTGCTTTTATATCCTTCATCAAGATGAGTGAGGTGAAGGATAAATTACAGTAGAGAATGGAGATGCTTGACATATCCTGTAAACATTGAAAAGAAATTTAGAAATTTGTGTTTCTTTCTTATTATCTATTGATTGTCAAATGAAAAGTTTCTTTTTCTGGTTTAAAAGACTACGATTTACCTCATTGCTTCTAAGATGCTTGTTGCAGTTACGAGGATGGATCAATGCTGTGGTGGGACATACGTAATCCTCAGATTCCAATGACTTCTGTAAAGTTCCATTCAGAGCCTGGTGACAATCCTATACACTTTTTTGTTCATATATTCTGCTTCTATTTCATTAATATATTTACAATGAGATTTGGTCAATTCTTCGTTCACTGTGCAGTTCTGAGCCTGTGCATAGATCAGTCAAACAGTGGGGGTATCTCTGGTGCTGCAGATGACAAAATCGTATGGTACAGTTTGGACCATTCTCTGGTAACTACCCTTATGAAGACAATTTGTTCTATCAATATACAGTTTCTATTTAGCGATACTTCTGTCTCATTGTCATAGATTATCTAAGAACTAATTCATTGAGGTTCGGCAATAAGAAAACGCATTGAGATGCTTGATGTTGTCACCAGCATGTTTTCATCTTATGTCATATCCTGCCGAATTTTCTTTAGCTGCATTCACCTGGTCAGTGGCATTTTGACGTGTGCAGGCTATGAGAAGATTGTGTTTAGTTTATTAGGCTTCCTGTTGATTCTGGGATTTTTTAGGCTTCCCATTAATTCTGGGATTTTAATTTTTCCTAAATACAAGTTGAATTTAGAGTTGTTGACACTGTGTAATGGCAAATTGGGTATCTGATATGCGGGAAGTCTCTAATTCCTTTTTTTGTTTGAAAATGAGATTCTTACTAAAGTTACATTTGTTTAAGAAGCTTAGGGATACAGTTACCCCCCTTCTCTCTCCATTTTATGGGCTGGCAACTTCAGAAGAACATTTTTTTTTAAAACAAAGATGAGAATTTATTTGAATATGTGACCAAAAAGGTAAATGTAATTTCCATTCGTGCTGGAAATTGTCTCAGACTTGTTTTCACAAACAAATTAGACAATTTTATGTGAAAAAAGATGACTGAAAACATTTTGGAGAATTGAAATTAAATATTTGGCATTAGGTCATATCAGTGGAGATGTGAACATTATTCAACAAATTAGGTAATCGAGTGCAATCTGTGGGAATGGATAATCCAGTCAGCTTTTCTTTGTACTTCTCTGGCTCGTGAAGGGTACTATTTTACGGACTTAGTCTCCAAATAGCAGGTAAAAATCTTATTACGAGAAGGGATTTTATTAGGTTAATCATATTAACTTATTCAGGCCTTTTTTCAGCTATTCTTCTGTTTAAGTTATATATGTGTGTTGTTATGTGACAGTGGACTATCTTTCTCCAATCTGTCTTATTTCCGTTATAATTGCTTGTATTGTGTGTTCAGGGACGCTGTGTGGCTAAAACAGGAATTAATTTGGAGCGAGGTGGCGTCGCCAGCGCATCAATAAGACCAGATGACAAAATTGCTGCGACTGCTGGCTGGGATCACAGGTTGGACATCCAAACTTGCAACGGGTTTTTTTGTGTGGTCATTATTAACGAGGAACGTGTACTCACATGCTATGCTGCTTGAATTCTGGATGAGGAGTCCATTTGCTCTTTGTAAAGCCACCAGCATTGAGTAGTTACCTGTTTTCTTCTGTACCATGTTTGATATGACACCTTATATTTTATTTCATAAGCAGAGTACGGATATATAATTATCGCAAAGGAAGTCCTTTGGCAATATTGAAGTATCACCAGGCAACGGTACTTGATTCCTTTGTCCTTTAATCAAGAAGTTTAACATTTTTTATTCCCTTTCTTTGGATCACCAAGCATGCACAAATTCTTGAATATATCAACATTCTGCACATTTTTATGGATCTCTCTCTCTCTCTCTCTCTCTCTCTCTGAGTTATGGCTTGCATTGGCAGTGTAATGCGGTTTTATTCTCAACTGATTGTAAGCTGATGGCCTCTGCATCAGAGGACACTATGGTCGCGCTATGGGAGCTCTATCCTCCTCGTACTTGAAAAGGTAATTGTGCATTGTGCAAGGGTAGCTAGATGGAAAGTATCTTTCGGTTTTCCTGTGAGTTTTTTACATATGCTGTCACTTCACGCTAGTGGCTAAAATATGATGTCACTTCACTCTAGTGAATTTTTACATATGCTTTAACTTTTTCTATTTCAGCTCCATCTCCATCTCCATCTCCATCTCCATCTCCATGGGATAACAAGCTTGGGAGATATCAGAAATGGGAGGCGGAAAGGCCAGATCTCATGTGGAAGACCGTACTTCAAGCAATGTCATGGGCCTGCAAATTCGTCTTTCTATGGATTAGCAAATCTTTTGCGACTCTGAAAATAGCATTGTCTACTGCAGGAAGATAATCTTTCGGACATTTGCATTCGAGACATCTGGGCTATCAAGAGAATCCTGCTTGCACATGGACGTTCAAATTTGAGACTGTCGCATGGGTCACAGACTTCTTTACCTTGACGGTAAGAATCAACTGGGTCATCTCAGTTTTGCAATCAACTGTAGAGAAAAAGTCCTTTCTAGAGACCAACCCAAAACTTGGCAGTGAAGCTGTGCGGTTTGGATTGTTAATCATCGTAGGGCATTGCCAGGAATAGTACCGGACGGTTTTGCGAGGACTCTTCAGTTATCACTCATCAGTATCACAACTCTAATGTCATATGCTGGGATTGCCACTTTGGTCATTGCCTCTGCAGCCAACTACTCATTCAGAGATCGCTGGATTATCTCGAGTTAGTCATATACTTGTACAATTGTTTATAATGCAAACTATGATGCCGTGATGGTTAAGTCAATTCCCTCACCATTACTAATCTTTTGCTTTGGCAATTGATTTTGTGTTTATGACGATGCTTGGGAATTGAAGCGAACGCCATAATCTCTCTCACTCACTTATTCGAAGTGCCTCTCTGGGTGAGGGCTGTGCAGGTTTCAACCCGACCGTGGCGGAAAGGTGCCAGTGAAGACTATTTACACCGGACTAAATCTCACCGTCGTTGAGGTAGACGTGGCGGAAAAGTAGCTTTTCTTTTTCATGGTTTGACTAAAGCTGGTGTCGTCATTGCAAAAACAATCACGGGTCGAAATTTGTGCCCTTTGCACTGGGTCGTTATGTATTCGATCCGGTGAAGATCAGTTCACAAAGGCACATGAGTGGTACTTAATCAATGTTAAACGAGTGGGACGAGTTCAATCATCCATTCGGTTTTTGTCGATTCACTTCGTAATTAAATTGGGTAAAACATAGCTTTTCACCTCGTAGTATCATTCATGATGCAAAAGGAGATCAGCGAGATTAATTTTGATTATACTTGTTGAAGTCCTTGATGATGTTAGAGAGTGCTCCTATGGCATTGTCAAGCAAACAATCTGGAAAATGTCTTAATTTTCGATATATTGACTTCTCTTTCACGACACGTGAAGTCAACACTTTGCAAATCGAGTTTTTCTTCTAAAAATATGATTAATAAGTGATTTCGAAGCATTTGTTGAAGTGACATCAGTAGCAATATCCAAACCTTAACGGCCCAAGACAAAAATAGCCCGACAAAACTCAACAGTGCGGTTAAAAACATGCCAGATTAGAACGCTCGGTAAGGTGATATCTTGAGTCAATTTTCTCGCATCATGCTAAACCAGCATCGTTGGCCTAGCCAAATGCAGAAAATTTGTGATTGGGACTAGACGTGTAGAGTAGAGTTGAATATGTGAGCTCATACTAAGAAATTTGAAGTGATCTAAGTTGTTTTATCGACTGTGCAAGTCCTCGGAGGACAGCGAAAATTATACAAAAAGTCATAAATCTATTATATGGCGGTCAATTCGGTACTAAACATTTCAATTATGCCAGTGTAGTCCTAAATCTTTTTAACGATTTGCTAATTTAGTTCTAAACCGTTCAAAAGTACCTATTTAGTTCTAAACTTTTTAACGATTTGTAAATTTAGCCTTAAACCTTTTGTTGATTTGTCAATTTAGTCGTTAGAACTAAATTTGGCCGCAAATTGCTGACTTAGCGGTTTACTCAGTACTGATTGTTCTACGTGACATGACTAAGGCTGACATCGATAACTTTCAATTTTTTAAAACTTATTTGAGTTTTTTTATGTTTTTAATTTTTTTTTTTTCATATTTGAGTTTTTTTTTATGTTTTTAATTTTTTTTTCTTTTTTTTTCACTTCTTTCTTTATTTTTTTCCCCTTCTTCCTCCGCCAATCGCTAGCCTCTAGCAAGCCGGCAAGACTTGATTTTTTGGAATTATACTCTTCAACACGACATCGATGCCAAAGTAACAGGTTTGGATCCATGGATATACACCCCTTTTCGAGGATCATCAAAATTAAGCATTTTATGACGAGCAAAAATAAGAACAATTTCGTTCCCCACAAAGGGTCCGAAGAAACTTGGATAGCAAGAGAAGGGCCTAGGACCGTCGCCACAGCCGACGGCAAGAGTCGCAGCCCTTGCCAAAGATGTCACATATAACCAAGACAAGGGTCATTTCAATGATACCTCTCTCTCCCTCCGGAAGTAGACATTGGATCCCCATGGTCCATCACCCGTGATGCTACCCTCTCTCTCCCCCAAATTCCCTTTTCATCTGTCGCGACTCATGATTTGATGATGTTAAGTGCCAAGCGAGCAACGTCCGTAGCACCAGTAAAAAGGACCAGAAGATTAATAATAAGTCGGGGAAAGCAATGTAAATCAAGACGAGCGAAACAGCCGCGGCAGGCGATCATTGTTACCGATGGAACAGTTAACATTGTGGACAGCAAGATTCCTCTGCAGATATGGAAAGCCCCAAAAGAAAGCGACAAGACGACGGAAATGCGGCACATGCTTCCTCCCGAGGCATATGGATACAGAAAGTGGAAAGGCTACTTCCACGTAACGCAGCGTGGAACACGAAGAAGGTCCCAGTGCCCCCCACAACTTTTGCAGTCTTACCTCACAAGACAAAAGCGGATCCATTCCTAAGTACACCCAGATGCGACAGGCTTCAGCTTCACTTTTCCCTCTCTCTCTCTCTCTCTCTCTCTCTCTCTCTAGTTTCATTGCATGCTTCGTCGTCTCCTTCGCTTTCTTTCGGCAAGTAAAAGCGGGCAGCTTACGTAACGGGGGACGGTGGGATCCATAGAAAATGCTCCGAGTCACATCGTTCAGTTGGCACAGCAGAAGGCTTTGAATTCACGGTTTTCTTGCGTCAGATAAACGGTTCTGGGAAGAATTTGAGACCCTCGGAAAACGGGTCGATAATATTTTCACAATATATAAATAAGCGCTCCATCTCACGTTTAAGATGATCCTTACGTGCGCAAGACGTGGATACACAATTGGCGGAACAGAAAAAACGGACAGAATAACGGGCAATATCGAGCAAAAGAAAATTGAGAGGGAGCGTCGGGATTAAAGTAGCTCTCAGCCTATGCTTTAGTATTATGTTAGACAAACCGTTTTTTCTCAAAACCTTAAGATATCGAGAAAATTGCCAACGATGGTTTACTAGCATATGACTCATCAACTCGAATGGGCCTTATATTCGTATGTCTTGTAATAACTAAGATATAAAATATGTGGCATGTCGTGATTTATTGATTTAAGCTTTTGAAGGAAATAATTTTTCCATGAACATAATTTCAAGTTGATGTTAGGATTAAAACTCTTGAGTACACCTCTATTTACCTATTTATTGTTTCCCATTCATTATGCCCATTGAGCTTCAAAATGCTTTGATCATACGACTATTGTTCCTCGATTATGCTATTAGTTCTTATATATCTCTATCCGCAGATACTCGAGTTGAGATTTTCTTTCTATTTTATAATATGAGATATTCAAATTTTTTCGGCTCGATTGACCCCTCCAAATACATGCAAATTATAATGTCCATATGCACCGAGCAAGACTTCACTCGCCGGATGACTAGTCCTAAGTAAATATTGCAAAAAGGTCAGGTTCCGGAAAAATACACCACATCAGGAGCCTGGTTAGACGTGAGGGCCGGCTCGGCCCGACGGTCGATCGAGTCTGGTCCCAAGAACGGAACACGTAAAAGCAAATTCACAGACTTTGAGCCAAAATAAATGAAATGTGTTCATTAAGCTCCCACAGATAACTTATGTAAGAAGCGAATAACACTAATCTCCTTTTGTGGAGTGGGAAGGCAGTTTTCCTCGTACCCGCATCTCGCCGATCTTCATGTTGGATGCTTTCCGTGACGATGACTCCTCTCCCGGCAAAAGCATCATTCTCCTCTCTCTCTCTCTCTCTCTCTCTCTCTCTCTCTCTCTCTCTCTCTCTGATGGAAGTCACAGCTTTATCTGATGGAAGTCACAGCTTTATGAGGAAGATGGTGGTGATGATGCTGCTCTTTATTCCGTCAAAATTAAGATACGCTGCTTAAGATGAGTACTCCTTAAGCTCGCCTCAATATTCTTCTTCTTTTGGGAGAGTTGAATCGGTTCCTTGGACGACGATTCAGTGCGCTTAATCGCCTACGAACCCGTCTTGTTCGCTACTCTCCGCTTTATTCCATCGTGGTCTAAAAAAGACCCAAGAAAAAGAGAGACCAGATACGTGAAATTGAAGCCAGAACGAGTGCAAGTTATTCTCTAGTCCATGTTGGACGAATCCATGAAAATGTACGTCGGTATATATGACTGAGTATGAATTGGGTTCTATGGAAGTTTAAGGCAAAGTGTTTTTGATTATGTTTTTCATGTTTAGCATCAAAAGTCCGATCCAAAAGTTTAAGTCAATAAGTGGATGCGATGCATATTATAATTACGTATTTAAGCAATACGAGATTATACGTAATTAACAAGTGGATTGCCTCGGCCACGATGTAATATCCCCCCAAAAAAAAACTTTATCTAATTGTAGAGAAATTCGGCTTTTTTGCTTCTTTTAAACGTGAAAATAGATCTCTGGGGGGTGACCGTGGACATGTGATATTTCAAGATCTTGTAGCATTGAATAAGTTAGGGAAGGGGGGGGGGGGTGTTCGAATACAAATTATTTTGATTTTTCTATTCGGTAGCGTCGACGTGGAGTGATTGTCACGTAGCGTCCTCGCTCATTAAGTTTGGAGGCTGAAAATGAATGGTGGGCTGAAACTTATTTTAATTAGATCGAGGTCTGGGGATCGGGAGAGCCCTAATTGGTTTTGTGTCAGACATTTAATTTTGCAAAAACATATAAATACAAAACAATATAAATAAATATGCATGCATAGTCAACGTGGCGACAATAATTAACACTCGGAATTTGTCGAAGAAGACAAATCGTGCCCACAACATCCAGCAGTGCACATGATGCTGCACATTCCATCTCTTTTGTGCTTATTGAAAGGCACACACATGGAAAATAAAAATGATGATGATGATGATGATTTTATTAAAAAAAATAACGTGGGAATCGATCCCAAAGCCGTGCCTAACACTCAAGCACTGAATTTGTCAAAGGGAATACAGATCAACCATCTTTAACCAAGATCTAATAAAAATACCATTGATCGATCCTCCCCATCAACCCCACTCTCTTAATCTTCACATAATCTCCCCCACCAACTTCATCTACCATATCTATTATTCCAACCTCCCCCCACAAAAAAAAATTAAAAATAGAAATATAGAAGTGAATAGTGTCACACCATGTTTGATCTCTTCTTTCTCTCCAATTTGTAATGGACCAAAGATGTGTGAATTGCAAAGTGTGTGATAGATACATTTGACCAACGAATTTTTTTATACTTGAACCGCCATCCTTCACTCTACAAGGGGGCGTCTCCTTTTAGAAACTCCGGCGGCGGCAGAGGCCAGCTCGAAGAAAGCATCGACCTCGCGGCGGTTCACGATGTCGAAGAAGTCCAGCTCGGACAGCTTCCGCTTGCACGAGGAGGAGCGAGAGAATCTCGGCTTCTTTGGCGCTGGAGGACAACGGAGGACCGCAGGGATCCTATGCTTCTCGGATGTCGGTGTCCGGCAGGATTCGCCGCCGCTGCCGTCACCATTGCCGTGGCGGTTGTCGGTTTGGCTCGGCTGCAAATTCGAATCGGAGGATTGTCCATCTGGGGTGTAAGTGTGGATTGAGGGTAAGTTTAGGGTTTGGAGGTCGAGGACTTGAAGATCGGTGGACATGATTTTTTGGGGGGAGAGAGATTGGAGAATGAAGGGATGATAATGATGATGTGATGATGGCTTTTGGCGTTGTATTTATTTGTGGAGGAAATTGACACGGAGAGAGCCGTGCAAAGGAAGGGAAGAGAGGTCGTTGGTCATGCTTCTTCCATATATTTCAATTTTAATTTTCTTTTCTTGGTTTCATTATTTTTTTTTAAATTTCACACGATAAATTTGCTCTCTTTCTTTTGTTGAACTCACTGCCCTGAAAGAATTGACAGAATTTTTAATTTGAAATATAGATTTTATTGTTTACTATACAATACAATTACTATAATAAACTGTAATTGGCTTTGGTACTCCATTTCAAGAGTATAAACGGGTGTGTGAAATACTTAGTCAACCTAGATCTAGAAGCACTTGAATAACGTGAGTCCAACGTAAAAGAGTTTGACTCTACTGGAGATCTTCTTATGTATGAATAATATAAGTTTTACGAAGATTTCTTATTATACATTGTATTTGCCAAATGAATTGTAAGATTTTGAGGGAAAATTGTCCGAAAAGTCTTAAATGTAGTGCACTTTTGCCAATTCAGTCCTAAACATTTTTAATTTTGCCAATTGAGTCCTAAATCTTTTCACATTTGGCCAATTGAGTCCATTCGATCAATTTTGACAGGAAATCGATAACGTTGACGCTAGTCGTCCTACGTTACGTGGCATAGTCTGAGCTGACGTGAACAATATTTAATAATATTTTAATATAATTCAAATTTTTATTAATTTTTTTTATTTGTATTCTTTTCTTTTCTTTTTTACATCTCTGGCTGCGAGCCCCTCGCCTGCGGCCAACAAGGGCGTCACGACCCTTGCCTGGATCTGGCAAAGGTGTCGACCTCGTCACGGCCCTCGCCCTGGCTAGATCCAGGCCTTCGCCCTCGCCAAATCCCCATGAGGGTGTCGCGCTCTCACCCAGACCATGCCTGTGGGTCGCCGGTCAGAGGTGTAAAAAAAAGAAAAGAAAAGAAAAAGAAAGAAGAAAAGAAAAAATACAAAAAAAATTCGAAAAAAAATTAAAATGTTATTAAAAATTGTCCACATTAGCCCTGGTTGTGCCACATAAGACCGCCAGCGTCCACATCAGTTATTTTCGGTCAAAATTGTCCAGATGGACTCAATTGGCAAAACGTGAAAAAGTTTAGGACTCAATTGACAAAATTAAAAGGCATATGAATGAATTGAGAAAAGTGCGACACGTTTAGGACTTTTTAGATAATTTTCCCAAAATTTCGATTGGGTGTTTCAATTAGTGGGACCCGTGTATTTGGTAACCGACGCAATCAAACAACAAATTGAAATTTGGACACATCATTTCGTAAACATTTAAAGAAGTTTTAGTATCTCTAATATTAGGCGTGTTCAATACAAAATAAGAAAAGAAAAGAAGTGACCCAATTAGATGAGTCAAGGCTAATAAATGGCCTAAACACCCAACATCATCATAGAAAAGAGTCAAATTCGGTAAAATTCTGTAATGTCTCGACATATGCCATTTCAACACATAAACGATTCACCTCCAAGTCCTCAAGTTATGCGCGAAAATCTATGTCCCAAAAAGAAAGTTACATGTGAAAATCTATTTTATTTTAGGTCCGGGATTCTTTAATTTACAGGCTGGAACGTTTTTCATAATAACAGGATATATATCTGAACCTTTCGATTTCACTAGTCTTCGTAGATGCACACGATGGTGGGGGTGACTAAAGGTGGCTCTAGCTTAGACTTGTCATTGAAGGCGGAGGGCGGTGGTTGGGAAATTAGAATTAGGGTCTTTTTTTTCTTAGGCAAATTTGAATCATTAAATGTGTGTTACATGCAATACTGTCGACCTTTTAAGATGGTCAATTCCATATACGTATACGAATCGCCTAAATGCGAACTTTACTAACCTTTTTTTCCCGTCGAAGTAAAATTTGATAACTTTTCCCTTTTCATATTTTTTTTCCTCCATCCTTTGTCGAAGAAGATTTCATACATCTTGGGTTGAAGGAAATTGTAGCCTAATAAAAAATAAGGGAGAATTTCAAAACCTCTCCCCCCGCCCCCACCTTCTCCCTCTCTCAAAATACGAAATGGGTGCATCGTATTAATATGAAAGAATTACCAAAAAAGTTATAAATTTATTGTACGGCCAACTCAGTTCTAAACCTTTTTAATTTTGCCAATTTAGTCCTAAACATTTTGATGATTTGCTAATATAATCCTTTCGGCCAATTTTTGCTGGAAATCGCTAACATGGAAGCCAGCCAGCATTGATATGGATAATTTTTTGGCGAGGCTTGACCTCCTTGGCCCTCGCTTGTGGCCAATCGCGGAGGAAGAAGGAAAAAAAGAAAAAAAAGAAAAAAAATTATAAAAACTCATAAAAATTAGAGAAAATGCAAAAAATTGTCCATGTTAGTAGCAGCTGGCGTCCACATTAGATGGCTGGCGTCCACATTAGCGATTTACGGTCAAAATTGGCCAAAAGAACTACATTGGCAATTTATCAAAAGGTTTGAACTAAATTGGTCAAATTAAAAGGTTTAGACTAAATTGGCATATATACAATAAGTTTAGAACTTTTTTTTTTTTGGTAATTTTCCCTTGAAAGATAGACCTTGAAACCTTTAAATTGGTGCATTCAAGTCGATAAACCCTTTTTTGACCAAAAAAAAAAAAGAGATGCTAAACCCTTTGAAAAAGTAAAATCAAGTTCTTCAGTTAATAGTAATGTTTATAAATATTCATGGCATCGAAAATTGCCCATGTGACTCTGGAAATTTTCCAATGCTTGGTAGCTAGAAATTGCAATTTTCAATATGAATTTAGGGATCGATTGCACTTAAATAGATGTTTAGGATTTGGTTGCGCCTATTGAAAGGCTAAGGACTTGCAATTTAGATAAATATTTAAGACACGACTGTACAAATGTAAAAGGTTTAGGAGAGTTAGGTTCATTTCACAAATAACATGTAGGTGTTTGGGTCCCTAATCATGCTTTCAAGCTGGAGTACTAAGAGTCCATTTTAATAAAGATGTAGCTGCACTGTAACCATTTTGTGTAGTAATCGTGCTGTGAAACACCGTAAATTATATGTTTTAAAGCTGCAGCATCTCAAAGTTGGGCGAGAGATGAGCTTCCAAAAAGCTACTTTGTGGGGCTCTCGATATGTCCGAGTGGTTGATTAGATTAGGGCTTTGCATTATGAATCTTATAAGTAAACTCTCTCTACTATGATCCAACAGACGATATTCGCAAGAAATATCTCAAAAGATAAGTGTTGGGTGTACGCGTACAGATACAGTAAAAGAGAGATATTATCAAGCTACACGGATAGATGGCAAGTGTGTACTGATAACAGGCTCTTTGCACAGTTAATTGGCGTTGGGGATAATTTGTCGTTCTAAGCAAAAACCCAGCATCGCCTGACGTTGATGCCATTGTCAGGACAGGACCAGTATCAATCATCATTATCATAACCAGCTCACCATCTATGAATTGTCTTCTTCAGACAAAAAATGATCTAAAGAGAGGAAAAAACGACACAGACCACCCAAACAAAAACAGCCTCTTAAGCACTGTCTGCGTGTTCTTTCCTCCTAGTCAATGTTTGTTTTCTCCTGTATTATTCAGTGGAAACAAAGCTGGACGAATAGAAAAATGTTGAAATTTTCTTGCTCAAAGCCAATGGCAGATTCGAACTTAAAGCGCAGCAAAGATCGAAATGAAGATTCATTCTGTAGTCGAACTTCACAGCAAAACCATCTATGAATTGTCTTCAATTCATTCAGACAATAATGATTTAAAGAGAGTAAAAAAAACACAGACCACCCAAACAAAAACAGCCTCGTAAGTACCGTCTGCGTGTTCTTTCCTCCTAGTCGATGTTTGTTTTCTCCTGTATTATTCAGTGGAAACAAAGCTGGACGAATAGAAAAATGTTGAAATTTTCTTGCTCAAAACCAATGGCGGATTCGAACTTAAAGCGCAGCAAAGATCGAAATGAAGATTCATTCTGTAGTCGAACTTCACAGCAAAACCATCTATGAATTGTCTTCTTTTCATTCAGACAATAATGATTTAAAGAGAGTAAAAAAAACACAGACCACCCAAACAAAAACAGCCTCGTAAGTACCATCTGCGTGTTCTTTCCTCCTAGTCGATGTTTGTTTTCTCCTGTGTTATTCAGTGGAAACAAAGCTGGACGAATAGAAAAATGTTGAAATTTTCTTGCTCAAAACCAATGGCGGATTCGAACTTAAAGCGCAGCAAAGATCGAAATGAAGATTCATTCTGTAGTCGAACTTCACAGCAAAACCATCTATGAATTGTCTTCTTTTCATTCAGACAATAATGATTTAAAGAGAGTAAAAAAAACACAGACCACCCAAACAAAAACAGCCTCGTAAGTACCGTCTGCGTGTTCTTTCCTCCTAGTCGATGTTTGTTTTCTCCTGAATTATTCAGTGGAAATGGAGCTGAACGAAAAAAAAATGTTGAAATCTTCTTGCTCAAAACCAATGGCGGATTCGAACTTAAAGCGCAACAAAGATCGAAATGGAAGATTGATTCTGTAGTCGAACTTCACAGCAAAACCAAGATGACAGAACAAGAACATGTTATTAATATTGAGATCCCAAACTTTCCTACACATCGTAAAAACCTAGATCAAGGAGGAGAGAAGAGAGAGAGAGAGAGAGAGAGAGAGAGAGAGAGAGAGAGAGAGAGAGAGAGAGAGAGAGAGAGAGAGAGAGAGAGAGAGAGAGAGTAGTTTAAGAATCTCTATATACTTACATTCAGCAACATCTGGTCACGAGATTACACGTTTGATATTCGATATAAACAAATTGGAATCACGAATAGTAATAATAACAATTTGCTCAAGAAAGCAGAAAAAAGAAAGATAAAACAAGAATTAATCAGAGAATTGCGACCACAACGCCCTTACTCAGGTACCTCCTCCTCACGACCCCCCCGCGAGGCCTGTCTCTCAAGCACAGGGCCAGCTCGCAGCTCCGGAAGAAACCCTCCACCTCCTCGCGGTTCGCCGTGTCGAAGAACTCACGCCTCCTTTTCCGCGAGGGCACTGCTCGGGGCTTCCTTGGCGCCGGCGGGCAGCTCGCGGCAGCCTGGATCCTGTGCTCACTCGACGTTGGGGTCCGGCACTCGCTGTCATCGCTCGGGATCTGAGTTGCACCCGCGTCCCCGCTCGAAGCTTTGTCGTCAACAACAGCAGTAACAGAAGAAGAAGAGGGTACTCTGATCTTGGGCAGTTCCAGATCTAGAGGCATGGTTGAAGGAGATGGAGAGAGCTTCATGGTTGAGACTGTGTTGTGATCTTGAGTTTGCGTATAAAAAGAACTCTCCAAGGGAGAGGCTTGCTTGACAAGGTTAGACAGAGAGAGAGAGCGAAAGAGAGAGAGAGAAAGAGAGATGATGATGACCTGGATTTGCTGTACTAAAAAGGTTGTTCGCTGGGGGCACATCACTCCCACACTTACCTTCAGATCATAATAATTATTAAATTATTAAATGCGAGGTTCCTTTCTTTTCAGCTTTTTCTTGGAGCTTCTTTATTTCTTTCCAATTAGAGTTCGTTCATGATCGCGAGATTGCGATTTGACGTTACATGGTTTTCCTAGCCTTTTAGCTTCGGGAACTCGGGGATTCACCAGCTGAAAGAAACCAAAAAAAAACAAACCTAGAAGGTAGGCATTAATTTTTCATTTTTCTGTTCATTTGCATTTACCCATGATATATATATATCTATATACATTCAAAGCATATGTGATTTGTAAGGAAATATTAAGAGAGAGAGAGAGAGAATTTACGTAAAAAATTTCGAGCGATAAATTTGGGTACAAGGTGAACTTGCTCTCTCATAAATTCATCACCCTATTTTATAAGATTAACCATCTTGAAAGGTTAGTTCAAAAAGCTTTTATTGGAAAAAAAATAAATCCCCCTAAAAAAGAGAGAGATTGGTATTGGGCAGCTGTGGATTTATCCTTGGCATGAAGCTAAAATAGGCTAGATGGTGCATGCAAGGAAGAAATGCTATGAGAATTGTTGATTGCCACATTGGGCACTCAATCAATAGATTAAATAATTAATTTACACTTATATATGTTGCTAAAAAGGTAGCATATATTCCTCTATTAACACACCTTAGTAATGAATTTGATCAAAGGGATTAATTATGTGATGAATTTTCCCGCGCAATTATAATAATGATTCTTATTCGCTCTCCTTATAAAGTTACGACATATTTCGCACCTTCCTGTTAGTGGTCTGCCCTAGGAATCAATCAAGGTTGATACTCTAATATTAGTTGTGGATTAGGTTGTGTCGGAAAATCGACCTTCACTATACTTAGGTAGTCATAATGTCTTGCTAGAGACGTGGGCCAAAAAGAGTTTTGAGCATACTGCTAATATTTAGTGAGCCTATAGGGTCGCACACAATAGTGAACGGACTTAATATTTTCTATGCGCCTTTATTCTCTTATTTAAATTATCTATGCGATCGTGCGCGTTATGAGATAACGATTAAACGTACGATTAAAGGTGGACGGTTTGGCGGGCCCAAATTGCCCGGCCCACTTCTTTTAATTCCGCTGGATAATGAGGTTGTATAAATAGATAGAGAATCGTTCTCTGTCTAGGGTTTTTTTCGATAGAGTATCGAAAATCAAAAAGCGTTCAAGAAAAAGGAACTTCAAGATCTTTCGCTAGCACGTGGATCGTTGGAGAATTCCGTTCGTGTGTGTGGATACCAGTAGGGGAAAAGTGTCAAAAAAGTCCTAAACCTTTTGCATTAGTGCCAATTTAGGCCTAAACCTTTTTTTGGTGCCAATTTAGTCCTAAACCTTTTACATTTGTGCCAATTTAGTCCTAAACCTTTTTTTGGTGTCAATTTAGTCCTCAACCTTTTGCATTAGTGCCAATTGAGTCCTAAACCTTTTTTTGGTGCCAATTGAGTCCTAAACCTTTTGCATTGGTGCCAATTCAGTCCTAAACCTTTTGCATTGGTGCCAATTCAGTCCTAAATCTTTTTTAGCTAAATTAATCGGAAGGACTGAATTGGCACAAATACAAAAGGTTTAGGACTGAATTGGCACCAATGCAAAAGGTTTAGGACTCAATTGGTACCAAAAAAGGTTTAGGACCGAATTGGCACCAATGCAAAGGTTTAGGACGAATTGGCACAAATACAAAGGTTTAGGACCGAATTGGCACCAAAAAAGGTTTAGGACTCAATTGGCACAAATGCAAAAGGTTTAGGACTGAATTGGCACCAAAAAAAGGTTTAGGACTAAATTGGCACCAATGTAAAAGGTTTAGGACTTTTTTGACACTTCTCCCATACCAGTAGAGGTGCAACACTTGGGGCGCTAATCCAGACACAATTGGTTCCTGATTTATCTTCGATCTGCAAAAGGTACATTTCGAAATTCCTTTTCGATTTCAATATACACATGGATCCTGTCTAGGGTTCTATATTCCGCTGCGTTGTTTTTCGTTGATGAACCCTTCACTTCCGTCCGCCGAAAGAAAGTAAAGACCAAATTGCGGCTCCTAGCTACGCTTACGACATACGAAACAAATTAAGCGTGTAAGATCATCGAAGGGGGTCATGATAAATCATCATACGTTACAACCAAAATCGAAATTATCGATTGCCTTGAAGATTTTTAAAGTTAGATTTACTTTTTTATTTCCTCGGAAGTGAAATGGACCCTTAGAAACAACTTCGTTTACAGCACTTTTTTTGCACGTAGCTTCGGATGTGAACGAATCTATTTACCTAGGAAAAGTCAGTAAATGCTTTCTTTATTAACCTAGCACCAACCAAGAAAGACCTACCCAAATTAATTGACAACATCTAATTTTTCTATGCGGTAATTACTCTATGGTCCGATGCTATGCATGAGCTTGGGTGGAAAATCCTCAGCGTTTCTCCAATGGCAGTTGATTCGGTGAAAGGAATAATCATGGGTTCGGTGTAGGTGCGGCCTCTAATGTAATAAAGAAACAATTTTCCACTCAACTGCTCTCTTGATAAGTCATTTATGCCTAAAGACTAGGATGACAAGACCCGCAAGGGTGACAATAAACTAAGCAAGACCGTCACATGTTGTAGATGTATGCAACAAGCAATCATCTTAGTGGTTAATTTGTATAAATACTAAATCGCGCCTCCATATAATTGCTTATGCTTTTAGTTTGGTGGAACTATGCAAATAACAATGGAGTGACCGGGGTTCTTCGATTACTCAATTAATCTTCACTTGATGTAGTCTGTAATCTTCGAAATCAGATCTTGTGTGGAAAAAAGATAAAAAAGAAGAAGATTGGGTTTTAATACATGATCAATAATAGAGAATAGAGCCTTCCCAAAAAAAATAATAGGGAATAGCTCGAATTACATAAATAATTTCGTTTGGCCGAATGACTTAATTATTCGATCGACCGAAATATTTAAATATTAAACCACGTCTTCATCCAACGGTTTAAAGTTTTAAAATAGTTAACGGTGGTTTCACAAAATTTTACCTGGTATCAAAGCAGAAGTCCCGAGTTCTAATCTTTCTAGTCCCTAATTGCCTCATGTATCATATATTTTCACGTTTTAGTCTTAGGTCAAAATCCCATAAACGCATGATGGGAATAGATATTTAAATGTTAAACAACACATTCATCTAATTGCTCAAACTTTTAGACCAGTTGGTAATGGTTCCAAAAAAAAAATCACACCATCTATACTCAGAGGTGTGGAAGCAGAAAAATATTGCATTTAACAAAATTAAACGCTCGAGAGAGAGAGGGGTGGGGGGGAGGATTAACCCTTTTAGCATAGGATTTCCTATTGGATCTTTTGTTAATAAAAAGAAAAAGAAAAGAAAAGATGGGTTTCAGTACAAGACTCGATATCAGAGGATAGCTCGACACACATGACTAGTTTCGTTTAACCGAACGACCTAATTATTCAACCGATTATCTCGCGTTTGAAGGTTCAGAAGTAGGAAAACAATGAGAGAAAATTGCAGATCAAAAATCTCTCCCTCTCTCTCCATCTCTCAGTCTCTTTCACTCTAAAGAGAGGATCAACACTTTTTAGCATAGGATTCCATGTCGGAGGCCCTCCGAATCTGGCCTTTGTGAGGGAATGAATCAATGAAATGAAGGAAGCAGATCTCAGTGGTTGTGGGCGTGGGTGTGTGTTTGTGGGGGGGATTGGGTTCACCAAAAATACCAAACCCGAACGACCTTATTGGTTGTATTATTATAACTGCCAAAAGGGCGACGATGAATCTTTGCACGTGAAGCGTGTCCCGGTTGTTGCCACCTTTGCATGGGTTTCACCGCCGCTGGCATCCCATGGGGGACACGAGACGAGAAAAGTGGCAAATCCCTATCCCACCTCCTTCCTTCTCTTCTCTTCTCTTTTCCCTCTTCTCCTCCTGCCGGAATGAATGAATGAATGAATGTTTACTTAAACCGTTAACTGCACTGAATATCATGCTGCGCCCCCACAACCCCCCACCATCTTTTGACAAGTGGAGCCCGCCCCTTTTCATTCTCTTCTTTCTCTTTTCCTGAAGAACCATGTTAACCGGTTTGGAAATAGTTGGATTTTTACTTTAAAAATATCGATTGCACGAGATGTTGTCGAGGCTCCGTTTGTTTCGCGGAAAATTATCAGTTTCCGGCGTTTGGTTCACTTATGAAAATGAGTCGACGGAACATGATTTCCTACTCGAAGGAAAACTTATACTTAAATTCGAGAAAATGATTTTCTCTTTGAAAAATCGAAAATCATTTTTCAAAATATGACCAGGTATTGACGCTTGAGTTCAAAACTCTATACTTAGGTATGGAAACCTTAAAGCTAGTTCTCGGGTCCCCGGTGTCCAAGACCAGGTTTTTGGCGCCTAGGCCCGGATCCATCGAAGCTAGGCCCAGGCCCTGGTGCCCGTCTCCAAATCCCCGATGCCCAGGTCCATCGAGGCCGAGCCCGGGATCCGCTACCCTAGCTCGGGTTTGGGCCTAGGTCCACAAAGGCTGAGCGTGAGATCCTAGTACCTGAGCTCGGATCCCCAACAACCAAGCCCGGGTTCACAAAAGTCGTGCCCAAGTTTATCGAGGCCAAGTCTAGGACACCGGTGCTAGCACTCAGGTCTATCAAGGCCACGCCCGGGACCTAGGTGCCAGTGCTCCGATCCCCGACGCTTGGGTCAAGGTCAATCGAAGTTAGAGTCAAGACTCTAGTGCTCGTACCCGGTTCTTAGGCTGACTATGTGCAAGTTACTAAAGCCCAAACAGTATATATTTATTTAGGAAATGCAAATCATATTTTCCATATCAAACGACAAAAAATATATTCCAATTCATTTTATGGTTTCAGCTAAACACCATAAAATATTATTGTTTTCCTGGAAAATGAATTCTTGGAGAACGTTTTCCAGAAATTTTGTATTTTCCGCGAATCAAGGAAATATCCCAACTTTCAATGCACTAAGTAGGCTAGTGATATGTACAATCAATGTTTCGAAGATCGAATATTTCTTCGTTAAGTATGTTCTTTTCATTGCATAATTTTCTAATAGATATTGAGTTTGAAAAACACCCGATGCATTTGTCGACGAATCTCAGGACTATGTCGAATTGTAAACTACACTAAGGAGAGAGTAAACCCTGATGTGGGACAAGAATCCCAAATTGGAGCTTTGATTAAGTATGTTTACCGGTGTCTCGAGGACACTCGTTAACGAGATCTTGTTTTTTATTAATTTCTTAACCAATACCCTCATGGCGTTCCTTAATGCAATCTTGCATTAATTGTGTAGCTGATTATCTACGGTCTCAGTTTTTTGGGGGAAGGAAATTATAAATTTACGTAAGTTTTCGCTTTTTTAGCGATTACTTTTATTTCGCTGACTATCAAATATTTGCATCTCAAAGTCGTTTATGTAAACGGATATTGATTAAACTAAACATATGACTACTATTAATAAATCAAGTCAATATATACTTGAAAAACAGCAGACCTACAAATGTCAATTTTAAGAAGATGCAGTATGTATTCTTTTTTTAATTGTATAGGCCATAGTTTCTGGGAATGTTAAAAGTGGAAACTATCTACCAATCCAAATCCGTTCATATGACACGCATTTAAGATAATTTGGATAAATCAAAATTTACTAAAGTTGTTATCCCAGTAGAAATTTTAATTCAGTAATCTCTTTTTGCAATGTCGCTTTGGAAAATGAAAAATAAGTCTTATTTAGTTATTTGCAAGAAGGACGGAGATGAAGATCTGGCTGCAATCGGCTTCCTTTGGCAGAGAGCTAATCACACAACATTCCAAACCCCACTCAGTCGTCTCGAATCGAACCAAGCAACTTTATTCCCTGTGTCGAGGCAGCAACCCTTTTTCCCAAAACATTAGACTATTCTTAAATTTTTTATTTCACTATCTTCCAACGTAAGACGACACATGATTCATTAATTAAACAATTGATTAGTTTATGGTAGAAGCTGCCAGATCCAAAGATGGGAAGGTCGATTTCGTCACAAGCCATTGTGATGTGTGTCTTGAGGATACTTTACGTAAAGGGCGAAAGATCAGATCATGTTCCGGGGGCCATGTTGGGGGGGGAGAGTTTAAGGTTTATTTTATTGTGATTTTTCCCTCTGGGAAAAAAGTGATACTCTTATAGTTAGAATCGAAAACGAATAGTTAATTTAGATTTATTTTGGTGTGTCGAGTTTCCTAGACAGCTAACACATTGCTGGTCGGGTTTTGCACACTTTAATGTCTGCTCTCGGCCACCTTTCTTTGGTCGTTTCTTTCTTCTTGGAACATCCGATGAACTTCGTGGCATGTTTAATCATTTAATGTTACGTTTTCACCTCATAATTTTAGACAATATTTAATGGGTCACTCAAGAAAATTTCTCTTTTCATTTTATTTTCTCTAATGTAAGCATTAATGTTTGCATACACGTAAGAGGAACAAATTCTATTCCAAGAAATAGAATGGTGACAGATATTTTCTAAAGTAGTGAATCTAACGATTGAAGTTTAAATTTGGACATACATATTCCTTTGGTAGCAAACCAACTCGTGGGTATTCATCTTTGAACAAAACTAAGCTAATCTCGACATACATGTAGAGATTTTTTAGGCTGTGTCGCTCCATCCCTAATTAGGGAAAACTTTCTCACTCAATGCGCGTGATGTTCATATCCGTAACTCGTCCGTCGGTATATGGATCGGAATCCTCCGATCATTATCGGAGGGAAACATGATCTCTTTACGCTAATATCTAGTTTGCGCCATTTGATTCCTTAAATTGAATTTATTATACTAAGTTGCGCAGAATAAGTTTAGAGATTTGCTGAGCTGACATTCTAGCCATTAGGATTTGTCTAGGTGATGATGACATGGGGACTATTGGCAAATTACTGAGCTTATGTAAATTTGCATGATCTTACCTAGCTATATATGGAAGAAAGAGCAATCAAATTTATCAGGTCAGTAATTACAAGATGATCAGGAGATGATTGGGCCTAGATCACTTTTAAGCCCAAATTAAGATGGGCTTAATGAGATCTGAAAGCCAGAAAAAGAGTAGGTAAGATCTGATTACCATGACATTATTTTGACCATAATGGAAAAGACATTAACGACTGAAAAACTGTTTATTTCAATAGTAGAAACCGAAAAAAATGCAGAAATAATAGTCCTAACTAAAGAGACAAGAACATTCCCATTTCGTTGCGATGCTGATTCTTTGCGCAATTTTCTTCCCCCCTTGACGCAGTTGAGTAGAGTAATTTTATGTCGAGGAATCTGAGCTGATACCACATACTTAGCAGTCTTCCAACATGTCGTGTCTATTTTCGATCGTTCGACTGCAGATCAGGCAATGACAGCTTTGATCGCCGGCCTGGCGGGTCGATCACTCACTAAGAGGGGAAGTCCCAAAATGAATCAGAGTTCTTATAGAATATGTAGTATGCAACCGCCGATGCCAGAAACAATCCTAGAAGCATTCCATATAGTTGCCAATCTGCATTTTCAAAGGTGAATGGTGAGAAATCGCGGCTTCGATAATCGGCAACGGAAAATGTTCTTTGTGTGTGCGTGCGCCCGAATTTAGGGGAGCGACCTTTCCACTCGGCTGGGACATTTAGCTTTGTCACCGATGCTCCGCGTTCACTAGAAGCACTCAACAAGACCCTGCGAAAAGAATCAAAGACTCTATTGGCACTTACTGACAAAGCGAGACGATACTGAAGTTCTTAGGAATCTTAACGTTAAGACTAGTTGCCGGTTCACGCAATTTTCACTGGTATGAAGTGTAACGATCATCTAGCTTTCGATGATGGTCATTACCTCTCGGTCGGACAAAATTCCAGCAACGAAATGCTGGTGCCCGAGTGCAACCTCTTACTCCAATGGCATATCTCCATCTTCTTTAGCTCGACCACACAGAAATCACCATCTCTGCCTCCCCTAAGTTGTTGTTTCGGGGTGCAAACAATTAATCCCTTTTTCAAATACAAAGAAAAGCAAAAGAAAACATAGAATTGATTGTCGAAAAGATAGGATTCGAATTCCAAGTGATTACAGTGCGAGATATGTTCCGTCCGAACTGATGGACATAGCTGAAGCCGGCTTTCCGAGCAATCTCTTGTGACCAATTCTGTCCCATGAGCCTATGTTCCAAACTCCCGTCAAGGCTTTATCACCTGCCATTCGACATATGCAAGCACCGGATGATGCGATGATCAGACTACTCTAGTATGCGCAGCTTCGAGGAAAGGGCGCGCTGAAGAATGAACCAACCTTTCTGAACCGTGCAGAACAAGAACGGTCTCGCCCCGTCCCTAGAGAAACGACAGAGCTCAATTCTTTCATCCTGCGGGGGGATAAACATCAAAGGCTGATGAGAACTCAAATAACCTCCCAAGTCATGCTTATGCCGGCGTGTTTCGGTTGTACTTGGCCTTACCGGACCACGAGCCAAGGTAGCCAAGGGAATGCCATCTTCAGCTCTCCATATTCTCGCCGAACCATCGGTCGAGGTCGAGGCCAGCAATTCCGAGTCTAGGCTGCAAAAAATGAGAAGCACTGTAAGTCTTATGTAGAGGCCACCCCGAATGGGTATCCCCAGGAGCCAATCAATTTTCCAAAGAGAAGATAGACCCGTGATTGACCTAAAATCGAGATCCCGATAGGAGCTGCGCTCGGCCGGTTCGTCCAGCACGACTTGGAGGCTCGGCCACTTGAAGATCCTGAGACGACCATCCTGGAGTTTTTGCACGAGAGTAACCATCGAAACACCAACATGCTAATTCACAAATCTTGAGAAAAACACAACGGCGACAGGGCGATAGAACGTTTGATCAGTTTACCATTCCGCCAGCCGCAAGTCTGGATCCATCACCGCTGAAGGCAAGACATTGCTGAGGACCAACGTCTTGAAGAAGAGGTGGCTTTCTGGCTATCAGCTTCAGACTCGATTCTCGACCATACAGTTCCAAGATTCTGGGAAAATTATGGAAAAGAAAAATGGTATTAACATAACACCAACGTGCTTACATACCTGGTTAGAGATGAAACAAAGCAATTTTGTTTTCCGACATTAGGAGAAGAAACTGAATTACTTGCATCCGCCAGAACTTGTGGAGAACACAATGTCGTCGCCGCTTGGGTGCGCTGCGATTGTCAAGGGATGGCCTTCACTTGCTTCGAGCACATGAGCTGCCTGACATAAACAAAAACTACATATAAGAACAGTACACGTAATGGTGTACAATATGATGATGCACAAAAACTAGTCATCAAAATCAACAAGTCTTGATAATCGAACAGAAGAAATCTTGTGAAATTGCTATTGAATTTTTCATCTCATGTTTTGGTATATAATTTATTTTCTTTATTTGCTTTTTCTGCTAGGCTATGAAATTCAATATCTTGAGAGAGGGGGGGCATACCAGAGGGGCAGAGGGAAGTGCAATAGTCTTGGGATCAAAAGAGAAAATCTGTATCAAAGATGGTGAAGAAGGGTCGTTGCTCCCTGGCTTGCCCAACGCTACCAGGTTCGCTTTCTCGGGTTGTCGGATCCATGACCCGCATGTCGCCTTGCCCCGATCCGGCCCGACTCCCTCCATTACTGTGGAAGCAAAACTGATGGAGAGAGAATTCGAACAGTGATCAAGAACTCAAAAGGAGGGTTGACAATATCGGTTAAGAATGCTATATGCGTGATTGGTTTTATTCATTACAGTGTTTCAACAAGAACATAAGGATCATCGTTTTCTTGTGGATGAATTTGCGGAATATTCAGGAGATTATTCCCCCTAGAAGAAAAAATTGGACCAAGGCACATGGTTAATATCTAATTTTTATCCTCGTGGATAGAAAAAACAGAGAATTAAGTTGATATCTGGATTTTGCTTGTTTTGGGAATTGGATTCTTCATTCATCGTCTTGTTTGCTTCTTATGAAAAAGTAGAGCTGTCATTTGTCAATTTGATGATAAAATAAAGAGACAAGTGTACTGGAAATTCTAAAATTTATCACGAAAATGCAATTGAGCCCTGAAACTTTCAAAAAGTGTTATCAAGTTCTGAAATTGTTATATTTGTTCTATCAAGTCCTTCCGTTGATTACACTTTTTGAAAGTTTTAGAATTTGATTGCACTTTCCTAACAAGTTTTATGACTTAATTGTACTTTTATGAAAGTTTTATGACTCAATTGTACTTTCCTAAAAAGTTTTAAGACCTCATTGCATTTTTTTGAAAGTTTTAAGACTCAATTGTACTTTCGTGACAAGTTTTGGGGCTTGATTGCACTTTTCGAAAGTTTTAGAACTCAATTGCACTGTAGTGATAAATTTTATGACTTCTAATACACTTATCTCTAAAATAAAAGAACTTCAAATGAGAGAAAGGGGTATGCATTACTAAACACATAAGTTGCGGGATAAGGCAATCTGCCTCGCTCAAAAAAATTTTTTTTTTTGATCGAATGCCTTGCTCAATTTAAGGTACCACAATTTCAAAACATACATTGCCGAGCATACAAATTGCAACGCCATAGGAAGCAAAGGAAAGGGTCCTCTTCTTCTCTCTCCGCTGGAGAGCTTCCCCTCTATCCATGGAGATAGTCGTCCCACTAAACCCTAACCTCCCGAGTAGATTTCTTCCCTTTTCCATCCTTCACATCCCGAGTATGGAAACAACACACCACCCACAATCCCCCACGCCACCGACACCCCACAGCCACCCAATCACCCACGTAACCAGCCACACAAAAACCCTAGCGTTCATTTAAGATTTCTGTCTTCCATTTAGTTTTAGGAATCAATCCTTCCAAACAAACCTACATGAAAAACCACGTATTCTCAATCCACCAACAGTCACATTAACCCGACTACTTTCTTACTATCATCCACCCACTTCTTCAACGAAATCCATCCCAATGACTCGTACCCGTAAAGTGCAAAACGAGACTTTGAGCTCCCTTCAATCCTGGAACCCTTATCCCTTCTTAGCAATTGTCTTGAAGCCGAAAGTAGAACCAAGGTAGCACTTATCCGAGGAATGAGAACTCCGAAGTGCAATAGAAGGCGCACTCCAGGTTTGATGTTTTCAATAAACTTTTCTTTCTCGTGGCCCACCCTCCGAAATGAGTTACCCCGGCTTTGCCGCAATAGTATATAGAAATGGAGAAAGAATTAGAGAGAGAGAAGAAAATGGCAGCACTTTGCAAACGTATGGGTAAAATGTGGACAAAAGACTACTGTAGTTAAGGTGTTTGAGGAAATTCCCGAGAGGAAAATAGAGGAATGTCATGACTTTATTGGGGAAACTCCATTCAAAGCCTAATGTTAACTTCCAAGCCTTCCAATCGACAATGTTGAAAGCATGGAAAACGTAAAGGGTAGTGTGTGATCGAGCACAACAAGGGCTCTTTACCTTCACTTTCACATCCGAAATGGAGAAACGAAGAGTGTTGGAAGCTAGCCCGTGGTCCTTCTCGGGTAATCTACTTATTCTTCAACAGTTGAACCCAAGTTGCCCATACACCGTCACACCTTCACTCATTGCCCTTTTTGGGTACAACTTCATGGGTTACCCTTAGTGCGCATTTTCGAATCAATTATCAAAGAAGTAGCCTCAAAAATTGGAGATGTATTGGAAGTAAACTCGGGAACAAAGGAGGGTAGCCCGTGTAAGGTTGGTAGGGCCCGAGTGTCACTTGACTTGTTGAAACCTTTAGTCTCGGGGTTATGATAGATTTCGAAGAAGAAAATTTTTGGATAGATTTCGGATATGAACGCCTACCCCATTTTTGCTACTCATGCGGAAAGATAGGCCACTATACAACTAGTTGTGAGGAGGTGCTTTATAACGAGACCAAACTCAAACCTATCGTTGAAGGACTATATTGGCTAAAAGCGGAGGCTAAGGAGCATAGCCCATTCTCGGGAGATGTTTCACAAGGTGGAGGGTGAAGAGTCGGAGGTGGAAGAAGTTATTCCGGTGACACCGCTTCAGAAGAACCATCCAAAACAGTCAAGCTATGGGCACTACGGAGATACAACAACCCGCAATAGTCCAATACACCAACCGTAATCAAGAGGGAAGCATTTGGAGGGCTTTGGGGAAGAGACCACAGAAGCTCCCATGCTGATTTCCGATGTTCCTTGGGTGGAAACCCCTCGGTAAGCATTCCAAGGAAAGCAAAAAGCTCTAGAAATGGACTAAAAGTTCCCGCAACAAAGAAGGTACGAAGGCATAACCCTACTTACCTCGGGAGCTAATTTGAAGAGAAGTGATGATGACTCCGTCGCATGATACCTCGATAAGGGTAGAGAAGACCCCCAAGTTGTGGGCTTTGGTGGCTAGCCCTAATAAGCCGGGAGATAAATGAAGTTCTTGAGTGGAATGTCCGGGGTTGGGTTCTACCTCGACATTCCAAGATCTTAGCCCACAGTGGTTCAAGAAAGACCCAATGTTATGTTCCTAATGGAGACAAAAATAGAAAGGAAGTAGTGGAAAGAGTCCGAAGCAACTAAATTTTCGTAAATCCACAATAGTGGATCCGGTAGGAAGAAGAGCGGGAGGGCTAGTGGTGATGTGGTGTGAAGAAATCCAATTGGAGATCTTGGAGTGCTCGGCTGATTTTATAGATGTATCTTGTCAAGAGCCAATGAGTGGACAACACATGAGGATTGGCTTTTGTATGCTTGTGTATGCTTCAACAAACTATCGGGAAAGACTTACTTTATGGCAAAGGATGCAAAGAATTCATATTGAAAACGTCTATCCATGGGTTTGTATGGGAGATTTCAATGAGATCTTATACCACTTGGGAGAAGATAGGGAAGAGAGAAGCGGACTACTACCGGCTAGCGACATTTCAAAGGATGATGACAGATCGTGAGCTCATGGATGTGGAAAGTAAGGGTTGTGCTTTTACCCGGACAAATAATAGAGAAGGAAGAACTAATCCGAAAGCGGCTAGATAGAGTTGTGTGCAATATGAACCGGCGTGTCATGTTCGCGGAGGCGGAAGCTATTGCACTACCGGCCATTGGCTCGGACCATAGCCACTATCTTGCTATCGATACACCCCCAAAGAAGAAATCAAAAAAAATTGTTCGGGTTTGAGGCTTTACGGCTTGAAGATCCGAATGTGATGAAATTGTTCAAAAAGCCTGGAGAGGCCACAGGACGACCAACCAAAACATGGCAAGCAAATCGGATGCAAGTTGAGGAGGGCATTAATTGAATGGAGTAGGAGGAAGTTCTCGAATGCACATCTTCGATTACCAACCTTATGGGCGGGCTCACTATGCTTACTAATAAACCGTAAGAAGGAAGCCAAAAGAGAGGATATGCGGGGAGACAAAGAGAAAATTGAGATCTTTGTGGAGACAAGAGGAAATGTCTTGGAGCATGAGATCTAGAATTAAATGGCTGAAATGGGGCGATAAGAATACTGAGATATTTTCATGCTACCACAATCCAGAGAAGGCGAAGAAACAGAATCACTACCTTAAAGATTGGGGAGGACCAATGGACCCGAGACTATCGAGCATTAAAAGAACATATACGGGCCTTTTATCTATCGTTGTTTTCCTGAAGGGCCTACAAATATACATCCAGTGTTGAATCGTTGTCCGAATCTAGCTAAGGAAGGAATGAATGAGGCTCTAATGGCTAAGGTTACAATGGAAGAGATTAAAGCGGTGTTTCAAATGGGGGCCACAAAAGCACAGGGACCAGATGGGCTAAATGGACAATTCTTCCAAAAGCATTAGGAGCATGTGAACCAAGATGTGTATGGAATGGTGGAAAGTTTCTTTAATCTTTGGTCTTCTTGACGGGACACTAAATCGCACACACATAGTAGTGATCCCTAAAGTTATGAACCCGAGAGCCTCAACCAATACAGCCGATCACCTTGTGCAATTTCAGCTATAAGATTATTTCTAAAGTTATGGCTAATAGGCTTAAACAGTGGCTTCCGACCTTATTTCCCCGAGCAAAGTGCATTTGTCGGTGGTGAAGCAAATACAAGATAACATCTTAATTGTACAGGAAGTCTTACATCGCTAAGAGTGCGGAAAAGGGTAAAGAAGTTCCAAGCGATCTGAAGTTAGATATGCAAAAGGCCTATGATAGGGTGGATTGGGACTTCTCTGTTAGATGATTCGGATGGGATTTTGTGAGAGGTGGGTGAATCTTGTTAGACAACAGTGCATATCCACAGTCTCTACGGAGTTAGAGTAAACGGGAAACTCTACCATATTTCAATCCTACTCGGGGCATTCGACAAGGTGATCCTCTTTCCCCTTACTTATTCATCATTATGGCTAACGCTCGTCATCGTTAATGCACAAAGCAAATGGAGGACGATACAATTAAAGGAATCAAACTCAATAGGTGGTGCCCGACCTTATCGCACCTACTTTTGCAGACGATGCTATCTTTTTCCTTGACGGGTCAACTCAAGAATGTCAAAATGTGGCAAATATCATGAATCAATATTGCCAGGCTTCGGGACAAGCGGTTAACTTTGAATAAATCAGAATCTTCTTTAGCAAAGGATGTCCACAAAGGGGTGAAAAATAGACTAGCCAAGGAGCTTAGAGTGCC